TATAAAAATCATTTCATAGCGCTTAAATGCCGGTTTTGTGTTTTATAACTTGTAAATGATAATTTTAATTATTATTTGTTAGACAGATAATAAATAGATAAAGATAAATAAATAATAAAAAAGGCTTCAGCAGCTCTATCAATCATTTCATCCCATTAATTAAAAAAAACAGCTCTGAAATCTGTCTAAGATTTATCAGTGACTACATTCTTTATATAAACATTTCTTGACTCCCCTGATTAATTTATTTTCTATCACTGGTATTAAACAGCACCCACATGCAGCTGTTATCATCGTGCTCAAGTATTTTCTCTTGATCCAAACGCCTGAGTTTGGCACCAGGGGGACTGGGTGGAGGGGCCGCTGCTGCAGATAACAGCCGGGTGCTCCAGCTGATAACTCCTACTGTACCAAACATTCATGCAAACTGCATGAAGGATGGAATAGGATCTGAGTGAGGAAGACATAAGTTTGATAAAAGAATGCAATGATTTATTTGATTTTATTCAACATTGTAGACTTTAGAAATACTCCAAAACCTCTTGTTTTTTTTCTTATATGAATAATACACGACGCTGATCTGTAATTCGTGGTTATTGTAATAGAAATTCTGTAGTTTTTTTAGACCTGTTTTTGTTATGGATACATTTAGATACTTTTTGTATATCTTGTTGTAGAATATTTGCAAAATAAACTTAAGAATGCATCTGATTTTTGCATTTACTTAATCATATCTAGTTGCTTTAACACAATTGTTTCATGTTAGCAGGGTAGGACATATAACAATTGTGTTAAAGTAACTAAATATGATTAAGTAAATGCAAAAATTGAATGCATTCTTTTTTAGACTTAGACAGATTTTATTTGTCATTTGTTTACACAAGTGTAAAACTAAAAGATATTTTGGTTTGGAACAGCTCTCTAGACAATTTCAAATTTTTGAAAACTGCAGCCTTGAAAAATAGTTTAAAAAAAATTAAAATAAATATATAAAAACAGTAATATAAACATATGACTGTAAATTTACAGTTCTAACGGGTTTTTTTGTTTGTTTTTATATAATGATAAAATATAATAAATATAATAAAATACAATACAATTACCGGTACCTATTTTACAAAACATTCAGCAGTCTAATGGCAGTGGGGAAGAAACTGTTGTGATATCAAATTATTCATATTATGTGTTGGTATATACAAATTAATGATAAAAAATAAGTATTGAGAAATTTATTACTAATGGCTTAACAGTTCTCTTTATTCAGTCTTTAATTTTTTTTCAAATATTTAAAGGAGCTCCTTATTATAGTTATAATTAAATTCAATTAAAGAAAATTCTGCTAAAATTAGATTTATTGACAGAAAAAAATGGTAACTGGGGTTTGATCATGAAAATTAATTCTTAATAGCCTTATGATTAATATTAATAAAGAGAATATTCTAAACTCTTCTAGTTACTTCTGGAAAGGTCTTTGGTTTATCTCAAGCGCATCATCTCCAGCCTATCAACAGGCTCCTCTCTCAGGGCGTGGGGGGCCCATGGGGACATTTAAATAGACCCGAATCAACACGCAGCTCTATTCAGCGTTTTTTCTTTCAAGCCTGAACCAAAAGAAAACAATCCAGAGCAGCCATGGTTGTGTGGTCTGAGCAGGAGCGCAGCATCATCAACTCCATCTTCTCCAGCCTGGACTATAACGATGCAGGCCCCAAGGCCCTCAGCAGGTACTGACCCGGTTCCTCTCATCCTCCTGAGTCCAAACCGATCTATTAAATCTCTGCTCCTTCTCCAGGTGCCTGATCGTTTACCCCTGGACTCAGAGGTACTTCGCCAGCTTCGGTAACCTCTACAACGCTGAGGCCATCAAAAGCAACCCAAACGTCCAGGCGCACGGCATCAAGGTGCTGCACGGACTGGACCGCGCCGTCAAGAACATGGACAACATTAAGGCCACCTACGCTGAGCTGAGCGTGCTGCACTCCGAGAAGCTGCACGTCGACCCCGACAACTTCAAGGTGAGGCGTGGAGCTCCACCAGCTCCTGGCACACACACAGACACCCCATGCGTAAAAGCCATCTGAAGCGCGTGCGTTTCCCTCTCCGCAGCTGCTGGCTGACTGCTTGACCATCGTCATTGCCGCCAAGATGGGCTCTGCTTTCACCCCAGAGGTTCAGGCAGCTTTCCAGAAGTTCCTGGCTGTGGTGGTGTCCGCTCTGGGAAAGCAGTACCACTGAACACCCAGAAGCTTTCACGCGTGGGGAGGAGATCAGACCTATGTTCTACAGGAGCCACGTCTCTCCTTCGTG